CCTGATATTTATTCTTTCCATTTATTATATTTTTCAGGAAGTTCATATGGAAGTCTAGAATTCCCCAAACTAACATTCAGCCAAGGTGTTAATTTGAGAGCTGGTATCAATAAAATTTCACTTCTAAGCATTGCTGTTGGGCTCCCGGTACATTCTCCCACTCAGCTCACAGCTTAATGCTGGTGGATATTGTTTACGAGTTACTGATTTTGTGGCTTCGATGCAGAATGTTGGTCCACATTTTGAGACATGGAATGCTGGTGTTCTTGGCCCGGTTACATTGAACGGTCTCAATGAGGGAAGGAAAGATCTCTCTTGGCAGAAATGGTCTTACAAGGTCTTTTACTTGTCATTAGTTTTTATTCTCCGGTTATCCTGATGTGCTAATCAGTTGATTGGTTATTTATCCCCTTGCAGATTGGACTTAGAGGAGAGGCCTTGAATCTTCATTCCGTAAGTGGTAGTTCATCGGTGGAGTGGACACAGAGGTCGTTTGTCACACGAAGGCAGCCACTTACGTGGTACAAAGTAAGTATCTCAAAACAAAACCGAATGAGTCCGCATGCATCGTTTAGTCTGCTTTTGTTGACACTCAAATTCTGCAGACAACTTTCAATGCTCCAGCTGGAAATTCTCCATTGGCTTTAGATATGAGTAGCATGGGCAAAGGCCAGATTTGGATAAATGGAAAGAGTGTCGGACGCCACTGGCCTGCATATAAAGCTTCTGGAAATTGTGGTGTCTGTAATTATGCAGGAACATTTAATGAGAAGAAATGTGGAACTAATTGTGGAGAGGCTTCTCAACGATGGTAATTAGAACAAACTAATCTGCTTTGCAGTTTCTCCGAAAATCAAGTAGTTTTCGATAAACTGACTTATGGTTGCTCATTTAATATAGGTATCATGTTCCTCGTTCGTGGTTCAATCCAACAGGGAATTTGTTGGTTGTGTTTGAGGAATTGGGTGGAGATCCAAATGGAATTTCTTTGGTACGCCGAGAAACCGACAGTGTCTGTGCTGATATCTATGAATGGCAACCGAATTTAATGAATTATCTTATGCAAGCTTCTGGTAAAGTGAACAAGCCCCTAAGGCCAAAAGTGCACTTAGAGTGCGATGCTGGGCAGAAAATCTCGGTGGTAAAGTTTGCCAGCTTCGGAACTCCGGAAGGTGTCTGCGGAAGCTACCGTGAAGGAAGCTGCCACGCGCACCACTCTTATGATGCATTTAACAGGGTATGGTACTTAAATTATTTCGTCTTCTTTTTTATAATTAATAAACCAATGACATGAACACTCTTTCCTTTTTGTTTCATTGCTTCATGAACATTGTCCTCTCTTTGTGCTTTTAGCTATGTGTTGGGCAGAACTTCTGCACGGTGACCGTAGCACCCGAGATGTTCGGAGGAGACCCGTGTCCTAGTGTCATGAAGAAACTCTCTGTGGAGGTCGTTTGCAGCTAACCAAACACATCAGAAATGCACGAAATAAACAATCATCTTCTCTAAGTCCACACTCCAAGATCGCAACCATTTGTTTCGGCTTTGTCCAGGTGAAGTTGTACAAATGAACAACACACCCCTTGGAGAAAAGCTCATTAGATTGTGAAATGACTCCGCAAAATAAACTCTTTATGTACATACACAAATGCTTGTTCCCACATGATACACAAAACCGAAGAAGCGACGGAAGCTGCACATCGAGACGATAGTATACCGAGTACATGTGCGAAGTTTTAGTAACAAGAAATCCTCTGGTTTGTACTAGTATTAAGTGTATTGAATTGTATGTTGTAATCTACATTTGTACTTCCTGGGAAGCAGTATTTGCATTGCTTTGTGGTAAGAACAGCTTGAGAAGATGATAAAGTCATGGCTTTCATGAACTCTGATGCGATTCCTTTTATATTTTATTACAACTGTGGCTTCCTTCTTCTTCAATAAATGGGAATCTGAGAATGAGATTTTCATCAAGTTGAAGAACTCGCATTTTCTGTTTTGCTTTTAATCATCCATCACATGAGGTGACAATCTTGATTAATGCATCCAACACGCTCACATGATGTCGGTGCTTAACTCATTAAAATAAAAATAAATTTTTGGTATATTAATAAAAAATTATCGAATAGTAATACTAAGAAGCGCGCGAGTTATCTGACGTCTTTAAGAAGACGTCTGAAGCATATAACGATTTTTAGTTTACTATTGACGTCTTTTAGTTTATTACTCTGCTAAACTTTACATTTTGATTACATGCAACACGGAAAAGACATTGTGTTTTTTAGGAGTTTTTCTAAAGACGTATAGTTTATACGTTTATCTACTTTTAATATAACAAGCACTCTATCTCAAAAAATAATTTCCTTTCCATAACAACTTAAATAAATTAATTTTTTTTCATCATATTATTTAAATGAATTAATTTCCATAACACGGAAAAGACATTGTGTCTTTCTTTACTTTTACTATAACAAATACTCTATTTCTAAAAATTATTTCTATAACTTAAATGAATTAATTTTTTTCCATCATATTATTTAAAGAATTTTGCCTTTCTTTTAAAAAGAATTATTGCAGTCCCTTCAAACTTTTTGCACATACTTGAGTTTTTTATCATGAAATTTCTCTTCTAAAATATTCATTTTCGACCTTATTTATTTTATGAGTAAATTACATTATTAATCATTGAATTTTGATAGTGTTTTTGTTTTTGTCATTAACTAATTTTTTTAATCATAATACTAAAATTTTAATTGTTTTAAAGTCATCAAAGCCTTACAATTATTAAAAATCATACGATGTGGTATTTTTCGTTGATGTGTGGTGATGTAGAAGGCAAAAAAAAATCTTATTCGTTTTATCTGACATGGTAATTTTTTTCTCTCCTCTTCATTTTCTTCACCGAACTTTGAATTTTTCCTTCATTTTCAATTACAGTTGAAATTATTATTTTTTAACATATTTTACGATCACTCTAAATATCGATAAACTCATCTCATCATCTTTTTACTCTATCAATTTAGATTTTCTCTAAACATCTTTAAAATCTACAAAATTCAACATAAAATCCTACCATTTTTATTTGTAAATTCGAATGGCAAGAAGCATTATTCTGAGAAGATGAATAATATATCTTGAAATTGTCTCATCGGACAAATGTTGATGAAGACCATAACATAAAACAGTCAAAGTTTTGGATGCATTTTTGTCGATTTCGATTGAATTTTGTAAAAAAAATCAAATCGAAGAAAATAAATAAGAAAGAAATGTGAATGTTTTGATACTAACTTTATCGTAAATAACGACCAATAATGAGTGATGATAAAAGGAGTTTAACATTTACTAAAACAAGGAAAAGTATAATCACATGTTCGTTAATGTTTTAATGATCCAATGATTAAAAAATGATTTTGAAAAGTTTAATGTCTAAATTGAATTTGTTTTATAGTTGAATGACAAAAGCAAAAGCACATCCAAATTCCAGTGACTGAAGCTATAGTTTATCAGTATTTCATTTTGAAACAAAACAAAATGATAATACTAGTAACAGTAATACTTACGTGTGGAATCTGCAAAGACTTGACTTTATAGTTTTCATGACGATAACCCAATCGGACGGCTAATAATTTTTTATTAATTATATTAAATTTATTAATAAATTAATTTAGATCGAATATTATAAATGTCTATTATGAATTGATCTCTCAATCCAATTTACTTGTTCTCATTTTGTTTAAATTAACTATCGCTAAATAAATTTATTAATCAATAATCTAAATCATATACTATAAATATTTATTATAAAAACAATTCACTTAATTTAATTTATTTTATTCACTATATTAATATTTAAAATTTTATTTTTACAAAATATATTTAATATTTCATCTCACCAAACTAAACTATAATGTTAATAACTTAAACCATTATGATCAATGAGACATAATCTTTAACTATTTATTTAATTGTACTTCCTTACATCAGCTTTTAATTCCACACATTGACCGCATTATCCAATCCAATTATTGATATCTTATTCATTGATCTCATTCTTTAAATTTTTATCGATTTTATTCAACGTTAAGATTATTGATATTCTTCTCATACCATCATCTATCATCGTACGACTCAGACGCGTCAATGTATCAGTCTGTCCTACTAGCGCACAATGATGTCGATTAAACCATTAATGATGATGATGTTAATCTTGTTAAATATCGTTTAATATGAAGAAATTCAATATATAATCGGCATCGATCGTACTGAGAAATTAGTTCATATAGATGTCATTTGTGGTTTAGATTTTTTTTGCTTTTATTGTAAATTTTAATATCAATAAACCTAATGTAAAATTTTTTTTTCTATTCAAATAACATAATTATTTCAAGTATTTACCAAATCATAAGTTTATATATTAATAAACATGTATTGTTTTATTATTAATCATTTAAATATTAATTATTTAAACACAAATTATGTAAATACTAATTATGAACCAAGCTTATGAAACAAAAGAATCCATTATAAGAGAAGAAAAAATATTAATTCATTAAAATAGTATAAATTATTTGAAAGAATAAAAAATTTAAATTTAAATATTTTTTAAAAATATATATTTTGTAGTTAAAATAGAAAAATATCATTTTCTAAGATTCAATGTTATGTAGGATAAATCTTTATCTTACGTGACCTGGAATGTTAGAAAATAAATGAATGTTTCTGTAATTATTATTATTTTAAATATAATTTACTTATATAATTAAAAATGTTATTATTTAGATAAAATTATCGTCTTTGGGATTATTTTTGTAATAATTAAATTCATTATATAATTAAAAATATTATTATTTACTTATATCATTATTTTTTGGGATTTATTACTATATAGAAAAAAAACACTAGCTTTTATGTATTATAGAAGTTGTCATAGGAAGGAATAAAAGCCTCTCTGTGACCAAACATCAAGCACTTTATCTCCCTTTTCTCTCAATTTCTGTGTATATCTGTGTGTCGTGATGACGCGTTTTAATAGCGGCTAAACCTTCAAAGCTTCTTCTTCATCATCGATAGTTTCCCTGTTTTACAGGAAATTATATAAATTTTCATTCCCTTCTGTTTTTAGTTTGCTTTGCACCCATCCTTTCCCAATGTTTTTATTCTTCTTCCTCCTCTCTTTCTTCCTCTCTTTCATATTCTTATTATTTTCTTTCCACTGCAAGAAACTCCATAACCAACAACAACTACAAGTACAAGAAGAGGAGGGGAACTCCCATAATGAATCTGTCCTTTTGAACGATTCAAAATCACCAGCCCGCGAAAACGAATCGACCCATTTGCCCCATTCGCTTCGTCTTGAGATCATGCCTTCCGATTCTGTAAAATGGGCTGGTTTATTTGCCGGGGAAAACCAACATAAAGGGGATGCCGGTCAATTCGGGTCGGGTCTAGATGGGGAGCCGTGTGAATCGGGTGGTGAGGAACAGAGGACGAAGAAGAAAAAGAAGAAAAGAGGGAAGAAGAAGAGATTGAATTCCAAAAGCGATGACGAAAATGGTGAAGAAAGGTGTAGCTTTTCCGAGGACGATAAGAAGATGGAAGAATCGGTTCGTGGGGGTCGGGTCAAGCCGGATCTTGTTTGCTTGTACCCTTTTACATCAACGAGTAGTGCAACACAGAGGAAGATCAAGCAACAGTATGATCAGCTTGTTAAGTGCCATGAAAACAAAGGATTAACATTGGCTCAGGTTGGTTCTTTCTTTTTTCATTTCTCTTAAGATTTTGATTTTTAATCTGTTAATTTATTTAGCAACTGATAATAAAGCTTAATCTTTTGTAGTTTGTACTAATTTTAGTTTTCAAGACTATTCCTTTTGAATGTTGCTTAAATGAACGGCTTATCTTAAAACTAAATAAAGTCATATTGTTGCTTCTAGTTTTAAGACATCTTTAAGTGCTTTTTTTAGTTCTTTAACTTATCTTTAGGCTATCTGGGGAATAATTTGGTCAAATTTGTTCTCATTTCAAGCAATAATTTAAAGTTTAAAGTTCAAATTCCTTTCCTTTGCTTGGGAGGTACGTCCATCTAATTTGGAATTGTTTATTAGTTTGTGTTATTTCTTTTCTGCAACAAGATGTTATGAAGAAAGAGCAGAGGGGGAAAGAGAATCTGGTAACTTTTGTCTGAATCAAGTTGCAAAATCATTGGAGGAAATCTAGTCACATTTCGACATAACTTGCAAACAAGTGTTTTATTGTAACTGTTAGTTAAGCCGGTCCTCAAACTATCTGGTTGATATTCCTGTCCTTTATACCACTGGCTTAAAGTTCGTTTGGTTTAGATATGAAAATAGCTTTTGATTGAGTTACAGATATTCAGGTTGATATTCCTACATTTTTCTGGTTGCGAAAAAAGAACTAGATTCTCAATTAGTTTGTGTGGAGAGTTGGAGAAGGTAGATTCTCACTTATTCCATGTACTTCTAGGTCAAGGATGAGTTAATCCCATGAATGTACTTTAAAAGATATGGTCTCAAAGAAAGTTGCTTGTACATGGTGATCATAGTGAAGTTTTAATATTTCTGTTGCATAATATAAATATAAATTATGAGGTTAGTTAAGTTCCCTTTGGATTTATTAAGAAAAACTTAAGGATTTTGGTGAAGTTTATGGATCCAAGTTCTCACTGGTAGATCATGTACTATAGGGATTCGAGAGGCAGAGCTTTCACTTGCTTGTGCAAACCTTGTCATGGAATCATTAACAGACTCGAAATTTTATTGGCCAAATGAGTATTATTTGCTCTAGAAACTATCAGGAGACAACCAGAAGATTTTGATTTTATTTAATCTATACAACTTTTCCAGCTACATATGAAAGTAAATATATTAATTTTGTAACTTGCAAATCGGTTTGAAATGTACAACTGATACATGGTGGGAATATAGAGCTATTTTATTTTTGTTATTGAGTTTTTCTGATGCACTTTTAGCTAAAGCAAGATTCAGTTGGCCAATGTCAATGAGGAATAGTAAGCTTTACACCTGGATAAAATATAAATAAATTCCCCTAGAAAATTTTAGGCTCAGTTTCTTCATTTTATCTCCCTAACCTTTTTTTCCCGGGTACCTAATTATGGAATTACTAGTAGTTTTAGTATGCCACGTTTGTAACAGACTATCCTCCCTTATGCAGGTAGGAGACTTTGCTAATTGCTTGATAGAGGCTAGGAATGAGCTGCAGCAGAAGTAAGTTCATAACTATTGTCATGTTTTACAAATCCAGATGTTTGTGTTGACTTTTCAATTGTTTTGCTTTTACCGTTGTGGTTCTTGTTTTTAGAAAAGCATGCTGCTTGCTTTTGATCTATGTAACCCCGCCTTTTTTCTTCCTTCTAAGTCCTTAACTACTTTTGTTCTGTTTGTTCTCATAATATAGAATTGATTTCTCTTTCTTTTTTCACACCTTTAAACGTAAACATTTTTTCCTGTTTTTTCCCGGTTTTTAAATTTTGATATCGCATTGGTTCCTATATTCTTTGCCTCAAGTTCCCACCATTAATCTGTTCTTTCAATGCTGGTTTTCCTATTTGATTTCCCTGCTATGACTGTACTGCAGGTCTGAGGTGATTAAACGAAAGTTTACAATAACAAGGGCTCTACTCTTCAAAGCAGACCGATCATCATTTGATCGCCTAAGGCAGCAGGTGAGCAATCATATGAGGTGAACTTATGCTTCTGGCATGAAGCGGACGTTATCATTAATTTGAATATCCTCTGATAATGGATGGATTTGCGTGTTTAGATATGCAAGCTAGAAATGGAGCAAAAGAGATTAGAAGAGGATGCATTTGTCTATAACTGGCTCCAACAGCAACTTAAATTATCACCGGCCTATAAGAAGGTACAATTCAAACCTGTATTCAAATAGTTTGTTTATTGTTAATTTTGTTAATTCTGTTGTCAGTCATAATTTTCGAGGAAAGATAGAACTTAATTGCGAATAAATTTTTTTTTTCTTCATCACTCTTCTTTCGGCAATTATTATTAGTAAACCTAGGAACATGATGTTGTGTTTCATGGAAGTTTCTTCTTTACCCTTTCCATTGCAACTTAAACAGCTATTTATAATGTCGTTTTCTCTCTTATTGCAATTAGAACAGACATTGTTGTGGTTCTAATGAGTAATGACTCTCTGTTTCCCAGATGCTAGAAGTTTGTACTTGCATAGAGTCGAAGCGCAAGTCCTGCGAGCCAATTGAAGACACAGATTCTGAATTCACTGACATCTCTTTCGAAGAGTTATTAGCTCAGGAAAAGAAGGATTCGTTTTGGTAGGTTGCTCCTCTTTTAACTCATGGTTTCTAAATTTTGTGTACACCACTTACTATTCACCTTTCTTCTTCGAATGTTCCTCGCAGGCAGAAAAATGGGAAACCAAGATTAAGCTCAAACTGATGACAGCATTTCTTTAGCCAACTCGACTGAGAAGCCCCACTTTTTGTAGTATGTATATTCGAATTATGTTTCTTTAGTTTCTGCAGCAAAATCATTGTCATAACTTCAAGTTTTACAGGCTCTCCCGTGAAAAGCTATTAGATCGTATAGAACGACAAAGCTGATTTACACGCCATGTTTTCAGCTGAAGTTCAGCCCTCAGCTAGCAGCAAACTCCCATCTTTCGAGATCTGATCATCAGCTTATTCCATCGCCGAAATCTTTATATATTGCATCAAAGTTGTCTGGCTTTAGTTGATCTAAGGAGTTTTGGTTCGAGTTAAAAGCTAATTATATAGCTCAAAACATCTGCATTCAGATGAAGATAATGAATTAGAAGGGTTGGTTTTAATGTAGATTATACAGAACTAGAAAATATTACACCATTGTTTAATATGAAGATTAGCGTTTAACAGAGTTGATCAATGCAATTCAGATGGAAGTGACTTATTATGCCATTGCAGGCACGATGGCCATGTACCTACATCTCCTTTTCATGCCATATTATGTTTAAGAAATTATTTAATTTTTTTTATTACGATATTGATTCATATTATTGGGTGTTCTAAATCATAAAACTTCAAAAGTAATGTTTTCTTCCGTACTGAATTCGGGTTCGAGCAGAATCTGGGTTTGTTTATAAAAGTCTGAATAAATAAAATCTCTTGTAACCACAAAAGAGAAAGAAACATGATTTTCAGAATTATCAGATTGAAATTTTACCCACTGTAAGAACTTTAGATAAAATTTTGTTTTTCTGTCAGCCATTGTCGTTTTCTATTAAATCGATATTATATTTATGAATATAAATCATAAAGTCATATATAAAGAGGAAATATTTAATATGAAAATTTCAGTTAATAGAATTGGAATATCTCTAATTTGTTCTCAGAAAGCAATGGTAAGCTGATCTCTAATTATTTATCGGTTTATCCGAACACTTGCAAACAAAAGCACACCATTGCATTGAAATGTGAGCTTTGCATAACATTTTACATTTCCCAAGAGTTTTAACAAGGGGCTGCATGCCTTTCACTTTCTTATCTAAGGCTAAGCCCACCAACAACATCGACAACTTATCTTCAACAGCCATGGCATTGTGCTCAACCTTCTGCCCTCGTATTCCCATCAACTTCAGAGCTAAACCCATTTCTTCTTTTACTTCAAAGCCTTTGTTTTCTCTTTCTTTCAAGGTTTACTCTTCTCAGGCCACTGATGCGTCATCCCAAGGTATTCCTTTACCTGTTTTAATGTGTGTTTTTGTATAATTTGTTTTCTTTCTTATTTGGTAGCTTTTTGTTCTTCTTTTTCTTTGAAATTGAAAAAAGCTCAATTCTTTTTATGAATATGTTGAATTGCCCTTCTCCATAAGTGCTATAGATTTCTTATAAAGATGAATTGAAAAAAGTGGTGTCTTTGCTACAAGGAAAAGTAAAAACCTTGAGAGGAATTATTTGGAAATTGAAATTCATGGATGTGATAATGGTTTTCTTATATATCAATTCTTGAGCCTCTGGAGATTTGTGTTGGATTCAGGTCCAAAGGACTATCAATTTCTCACTAAATTTTTATCTGTATAAAGTACAACTGCCACTAATTGCTTATCTAACTCTTATAGGGATTATGCTAAATGTAACAGATAAATTTACAGGCCGAGTTGGTTTTCTGGGTCTTGGAATTATGGGATCACCAATGGCACAGAATCTCATAAAAGCTGGGTATGACTTGGTTTCTCTTCTTAATCAGTACTGATAGAACCATCAAACTGAAATGAAATTCTGGTCTTAAAAGATGATGCGTTCGTTCACAACAGCGGATGATGAATCCTATGTTTTATTCCCTTGTGATCGTGTTCTCTCTTTCCTTGACATAAAGCCTTTAGCATCAATTTGAGTGGAAAAATGATTGAACTTCGTAATTTCCATTTCTTAAGCATGGACCATGATCCTAATCTAAAGTTGATGTGTGTAGAGCTTAATCTTCTGATGTGTATGTTGCAGATGTGATGTGACAGTATGGAATAGAACGAAGAGCAAATGTGATCCTCTCATCAGCCTTGGTGCAAAGTGAGTTTCGGATATGCATGCTGTGAAATTAGTTTTTCATGGCATTATCATGCCGATGATGTTAAGGAACTCCTCTAACGTTTTCTCTCTTCGTCATGACATATTGACGAATCTTTTTATATAATATGAGCTAATACCGAGTTAATTCAACATATCATTGTTGGTAGATGTGCTTAGAGGGTCAGTCACTTCCCTTGCAAGATAACCTCTTTATATTTCCTTAGTGCATACAGTGGCAATCTATGTCTATTCTTATATTTTTCTTCTGGTGATCTAGCTCTTTCTTCGAAGTTTGCGTTGTTATCGATGTTGTTTTTGACTAGAGCTTTCAAGATAACCAGATTTAATCTTTAAATTACTGAATAAGATGTGTTTTTTTGGGGTGCAGACATGGATCCTCTCCGGAGGAAGTAGCTGCAAACTGTGATGTCACATTTTCCATGCTTGCCGATCCTGAAAGTGCAGTGCGTATGTTACTGTTATAAATTACATTGTTATATTTGTTTTGCTTGAGCTATTATTAAGAACTGGGAACTCATTGTTGCTCTGTACTAGATTGATGTTGCCTGTGGGAAGAACGGAGCCGTGAGTGGAATGGGTCCGGGAAAAGGGTAACATTTCTCTCATGTTCACATTTGACAGCATTTTCTGTCAAGCCTTTTAACTGTTGATATAGTTTCACCGCCTACTTCGTTTTGTTAGTTGAAAGGTTCCCAGACTTGAATTGATAACATAAGAAATTGCATTGGCATTAACAGCTATGTAGATGTTTCAACCGTTGATGTTGCCACTGCTAAATTAATCAGTGGACATATCAAAGCAACCGGGGCATCATTTCTGGAGGTAAAATTTGCAGTCAGGCTTGTCATTTTCTAAAATGCTTGCAACTCATTCCCACCACAAATAAATTGAGTGTGGTTCAGTACTGTGATAATGTTAGAATGTATGTTAAGTAAGTTTCATTTGCTTCCTTTTCAGGCTCCGGTTTCAGGTTCGAAAAAGCCCGCGGAAGATGGACAACTGATATTCCTGACCGCGGGTAAAATGTTTTGCTTCATCTTTTAGCACGCCATATATGATGATTAATCCAATATGAAAGGAATCCCAACAATGCAACTAGAAATACTAAAATATTTGCAAATTTTGATGTTTGAATGTTATATAACTGGTTAACCATGTTCAGAATATAATCTTTTTAATCAATCACTGAGACCATGGCTTTATCTTTCAGGTGACAGAGCTTTATATGATTCAGTTGCTTCACTCTTGGACATAATGGGCAAGGTAATTGTCTTCCTTCTCAGGCACACACATTCATTACACGGTATTTCAGAACTCCTGTTGTCGAATTAAGAGTTGCAAGTGATTTTTAATATATGTGTTTCTTCCTCAGTCAAGATTTTACCTCGGGGAGGTCGGAAATGGAGCTGCTATGAAACTTGTCGTTAACATGATTATGGGAAGGTTTTGCATCGTTATTTTTTTAACCTTTAGTCTTTTTTCCCTGATGCTTGTGGTGACTAGTATGATGATAATGCTTTTCTGTTGCAACTTTTAGTATGATGGCATCATTTTCTGAAGGCATACTTCTTAGTAAGAAAGTAGGACTCGACCCGAATGTTCTAGTCGAGGTATTCCCTGAAACCCAAATGCATGAATTGATCGGATGACTGATTGTCATTTTTTTTTTACATCATCTTGTGGTATTGTAGGTGGTTTCACAGGGTGCCATTAGTGCACCAATGTTCTCAGTCAAAGGTCCACCAATGGTTAAATCCCAATATCCCACAGCCTTTCCCTTAAAGCATCAACAGAAGGTTTGTAACTTACCGAGTAAGCGACATTTTCGAGAGACCGTTATCAATTCCTGTTATAACAGAAACTAACGGTGACACAGGACCTTAGACTTGCTCTGGGATTAGCAGAATCTGTTTCCCAGTCCACTCCTATCGCAGCCGCGGCAAATGAACTGTACAAGGTTGCTAAATCATACGGCCTCAGCGACGAGGATTTTTCGGCAGTTATCGAAGCACTGAAAGCTAAATCTCACAACACTGTTTAACTTTATGTTTCTTTTTTTGTGTCATTCATGGGGTACAAAGCTGATTTAGACATGCTTTGTCATGTATGATGATATTTAGGTTAAGCTTTTCAACCCCTATTCTATTCCGCCTCCACCGATCCACGAACTCAGTTCGGACTTCCGAGATTTCTTATCCGTATAATTAATTTTAAAATAAAACTTTTGCATTTGTTGGAATTCAAACAAATCACAAAATTGATCTTAGTTATTCACTGCAAAAATAGTAAATAAAGGTAAAAATTGTTATAATTGTACTAGGACATATCTACACCATATTCTCTAATAGTGTCATAAGCATGCATCAATGCTAGGCCGGAGAAATAAGAAACAATTGCAGTATATTGAATTCACAAATTCCCAATTGTTTTAGTGCAGAAACTACTTTAGAGTTAACAGAACATGGACTTTTAACTGTGTCGGAAAACTAAGTCGAGCCAAGTCAAGCCTGCCGTATTTCGGCACCAAGTATCTTCGACTCGACATATTCCTCTCGTAATCTGTCTATATTTTCGTCTTAGTCGATTTTCACAGATGAGTAAATCTTCCTAACAAACCAGAAGCAAGCATAGAAGCCAACTGTCCCTGTCAGGACAAAAAATGCATATGATATAATTACCATGTAACCGAAGTAGAGGATGCCGGAGACCAGCTTAGTAATCTCCAACTTGGTGAAGAAGTAGAAGATTGAGTATAGGAAAAGGTAAAGTGCGGAGGAACCGACGGTCAAGTAAGATCTCCACCACCAACGATAGTCTTCACTGCACAACTGGAAGTAGCATAGCACAATTGTTATCTCGGCGCAAGTGATTATTAGAATAATGAACACTGTGAAAAGGAAGCCAAAGATGTAGTAGAACTGGTTCAGCCATATTGACGTCAAGATGAAGAAGAGCTCAATAAAAACAGCCCCAAATGGAAGAATGCCTCCAATGAGCATAGAGAAGATTGACTTCATATACCATGGCTGGTCCGGTATCACCTTAGGAATCTTGTTGGTCTTCACGGGGTCTTCAATGGCTGGCCTTTTGAAACCGAAGTAACTGCCAACAAAGACTAATGGAACCGATATACCGAAACATAAGAAAACAAGAGCAAGCATTGTCCCGAACGGCACTGCACCAGAAGATTGCTCTCCCCAAATTAGCCCATTCAGCACAAAGAACACAACAAAGAGGATACTGGGAAACATAATTGCAGTTTCCAAAGTATTTCTCTTCCACTCTGTGCCCTTAAACATTTTGTATAAACGTCCTGAAGAGTAACCGGCAAATATTCCCATGAAAACCCACAACAGAACCATAGCAGTCATAAGCCCTCCACGGTTGGAAGGAGATAGGAAACCCAGTAACGCAAATATCATCGTCACAAGCGTCATTGAAAAGATCTGGACGCCCGTACAGACGTAAACAGAGTAAATCATAATTAATTGGAGCCCTAAATACATCCGCATGAACCAGTTTCCATCCTGTTTCTTCCTGAGCCTCCTCTTGGGTTTCCAACTGATTATAGTTTGAAATATCTTTGTACAATGTTATCATCATGATCACGGCTATCATGCCCAGAGAGGAAGAGAACAAGCATCAGTGAGTTTACTATGGAGAACCAGTGGATCTGATCATCATTCATCAGAAGGTATGTGTTCCAGCGAGAAGCCCATTTGATATCACTCTCCTGCAACAAACCATGAGTTAACCAATACACTAAGACCTGTGTTGGGAAAAACGGACCGGACTGGCTGTTCAACTGAAAACCAGTGGCCCATCCAGTCTGGCACACACCCGAAAATGATGACAGGAAAAAGAAAGGAAAGACAAATACCTTGAAAGTTACATCATATGTAAACACAATCTCCTTGCCTACGTCAACTTCTTGTGGAACAGTACTAGCTTGAGTTAGATATTTGGTGTCCTTATTGCATGTTGCTATCTGGGGATTCTTCTCATCCCATTCTTTGTATTCATGATTAATGCTGTTAATCAAAGCCACAAAACAAACAATAATGACACAAGTATGCAAGTCATTTGATAACCAACAGAAAATAACCTTGATCCTAACTAGTTTCTTAAATTCCATGACAAAAGCTACAAATCAACTAATTTTGACTCTAAAAAAACTGGAAAATGAACAATAAAGTCAAGAAAATGGTGGAAAACCTTTTTGGGGTAACCTCAAACCCAACAATTCGAGTTGCATCAGTCTCAGCATCCCTGTGAAACATGACCCTGAAGCTCAAGTGATTGTTGATAAAATACTTCTCCTCCTTGGTCTATAAAGGCATAACAGTTACAATTAAAGTAAAGAACACATAAAACTTTGAAAACAATACTAGATTCCCTGACCATACCCCGGCATAATTCCCTTTGAACCCAACTTGGCAACCATGTTCACACGTTGTTGACTGACTTCCGTCTCTCCTTTGTCTAAGAACAGCGACTGGAAGATTATCGAGAATCCTATGCATCAAGTTCAGATAGTTCAACACAAACTTATTAGCAACCAAAGGGCAGGGAGGAGAGTGGCAAACAAACAAACAGTAAAAGCAGTAAGCATCTCCATGAAAAGAAAGGAACAAGGAAACATGAATCATAGGCATCATATTTGTTACTCACCTATTAACTCGATATTCATCATCAATTTTTTCCTTGAAATTCTTTGCAGATTCAGCATCAAGTTTTTTCCGACAGACTACTTTGCAAGGCTGATCCTCCCTCATTTCAAACTAAAGCAAAATGCATTATAAACAACAAAAAAGGAATTACAGATATAATCTATTAAGCTTTCCACTGAATACCACTTTTCACCAACAGCAAATACATAACACCACAAAAGGTAACAGATGCTCACGGTGTAGACGGAATTCTCTATGCGGTCACCACGTAGCACCTCCCCCAAATTTTCAGCATTGTTCACAATCTTGGCTGGTTTACAGTAGTCTAAGTAGTAATGATCATATGGTAGTTGTGTCTTTGTAGATGACAGTTTGTTCACCTTAACATAGAGGGGATCACCCTGTTCAGAGTGGAGAAAAGAACAATTTAAGGCATAAAAAATTAATAACAACAAAAGGAGACAAAAACCTAACCATTAAATATATTTATATTGCCTGTTACACAGAACCGAACTAATATAATATGATCCATGCAAAGTGAATTACACTGTGAATCTAAAACCATATCACTTTTAAGTATTTGCACATAGGTGTTGCTATTCACATGACACGATCAGGAAACACAGCGCTTATTCAGACAATAATCAAAACATATGAGTTGTGCAAGAAATTAAAATGAGCCCTGCATTTTTAGGCTCAAATAACTTCCACATTGTTTCAGGGAAAAATAGATTGATTCAATAGCTAAATATCTTGACAAAATACATTCTTAACACTCCATTATTTGTTAATGAAAACAAGATTCTCCCAGCATTGCAAGTTTAAAATTCATGAACAAACAAATGGTACTAGCATATGTATACAAAATGTTCTCTTTAATTTCACTGAATTCTTGAATAGCTTTCTTTCAGACCAAAATCCAAAACATTTAACGCAATTTCACCGAAACGAAAGTCAAATCACATCCAAAGGCATACAGAACACATTAATATCAAACCATAAAAACCCACAATCCCCATAAACAACAACAATCAAATGGAAAATCAACACAAAACATTAAAAAAGGCAAGACAAGCAAGATAAACCCATAAAGGGGAAGGGAGAAAGAGGGTACCCTTTGAAAATCACGAGGGGCAACACCAGGGAGGTAGAAGGAATGAGCAGTTGATAACAAAAGCCAAGAAACAAACAAGGAAATCTTCCATTTCGTATCCATTTTACCACTCTTCTTTTGCTCTCTAGATTGGCTTCACTAATTCAAGAGAACTGAGAGAATGGACTTGAAAAAAAAGTTGAGATGGACAACACAAGCCTTTGAAAAATGGCGCCTCATGCAAATGCAACTGTCCATTACATCTTTGTTTTGCGGTTCTTTTAACTAAAGAACCAATGAATTTATTACGTTGAATTCATGGGCTGTTCCAAAATGTAATTTTCTTCTTCTTTTGAATACTGGTTTTCTAAAGTTAGTAAGTTGCTTCAAAAACCCAGCAATTTACAACGATGAAAAAAACATGCAAATGAAGCTAACTTGGTCCACAGATTTCGATCGGATAAGCCCAGCCATCCATTATCTCGCACTCCTTTCAAATGGGTGAAATTATGGTTTTGGTACCTCTACTATACTCAATCTTTTTTTAATCATTTTTAAATATTTTTAATTTTAATATTTTTGTGTTTTTTTACTCTCAGTGATCCAATTTAATCTTTTAAATCCTTCGGATTGTCTAAATCAGATTATTGATTGATAATTAATTAAACTAAAAAAAAAAAAAAAAAATCCAACTTGTGTTAGGCTTATCTCTTAATGAGTTGTCACATATATTGGTCACTGCTAGTTAACCGAATTAGGTTCTACTCCTCTTAGTCCCCTCCCTTTTTTGCCCTAACAAACTAGGCCCATTCCTTTTAAAGTTAGTGTAATATAATATTAATAATACTCAACAAGTGTTGCAATGTAATATTAACAATGTGAATACGATATTTATTAATTGATCGAATAATTAAATAAATATATATTATCTTATTTTACATGAATTTGAATTCTAAAATTTATCTTAGAAACATAAATATATCTATTTAATAATATATATATATATATATAATGCGAATATGGTAGATATGAAATTATACACTTTAAACTTAAATAAAAATAACATTTTAAAATTTATATCATACTATTACTTGTTAATATAAAATAAAAAATTTATATTTTCAATTATTAAGTATGGCACATCAAATTGTCAACCCTAAAAGTCTAGCCGACCCCGACCTCATGGGAGGAAAAGTTGGAATCCAACCTCTTCCATTTTTTCTGTAAATTTGTTTATTAAAAATTCAATTTACTTTTAATATATATATACACACACAAGCACAAAAGAACTGTAAATTAAACAAGATATTTTAAAAGTACAAGTAAAATCATAATAATTATAAATATAATAGAAATCAATAGAAATAAAATTATTTCCTATAAAACGAATATTTTTTTAATTTTAAAATTTAAATCTCTACCACCTACTATAAATAAAACACGTATCAATGAAATAAACCACATGAATACATAAATATTTTATTACACTATTGTCAACTTCTGATCCAAATCCTGCCAAAATTATCCTTTCTTGATCCTATAAATAGATAAGTTGTCAACTTCTGATCCATCTCAACTCCTCCATGCTGGCTCACTCTACCTTGTTACTGTTCTTTGTTCTCTTTGTTGGCCATGGATCTTCAAGCTTCACGCCCCGTTGTTGAATCTTCTGCTTCTGCAAATCAACCTTACAGAACTGGCTTTCATTTTCAACTTCCCAAGAACTGGATTAATGGTATAAATCCGAGTTAAAATGACCATTTTTAAATGTGTTCTTTGCTTTTCTTTGTATTACTAACCATTTTTCCCTTTTGTTTTAATGTCATTTGACAAATGGGTACCTATGATGAACAGATCCTAATGGTTAGTACTTCCTTTTATTGTACTTATTGTGTTTTGCTTGATGATTTCTTCTGTGATTCTAAACTAGTTGCATGATTTGCAGGAGTTATGGTTTACAAGGGAGTTTACCACTTGTTCTACCAATACAATCCGAATGGTGCAGTGGTGGAGGGCATCAAAATTTGGGGTCACTCTACATCAAATGATCTTGTGAATTGGACCCCTCATGAACCAGCCATCTATCCATCTGAGCCATATGATACCAATGGTTGCTGGTCTGGTTCAGCCACTATCCTCCTTGATGACAAACCAGCAATTCTCTACACCGGAGTCGACTCCCAAAACAGACAAGTCCAGAATCTAGCCTTCCCCAAGAACTTATCCGACCCTTACCTTGTAGAATGGATCAAATCGGATAAAAACCCCGTGATGCAACCTACCATCAAGAATCGTATCAATGCGAGTTCATTCAGGGATCCCACGACTGCATGGCTAGGCCCTGATGTCCAATGGAGGGTCATCGTTGGAAGCAAAGTGGACCGCCGGGGCTTAGCCATCCTTTACAAAAGCAAAGACTTTGTGAACTGGTTTCGATCCGAGACCCCGTTGCATTCTGCTAACGACACCGGGATGTGGGAATGTCCCGATTTTTTCCCTGTTCTAGTTGTGGGACAAAATGGTGTCGACACCTCACTTAATGGCCCTTTTTTCAAGCATGTGCTTAAGGTCAGCTTAGATGAGACCGGGCATGACTTGTATACGATCGGCTCATATGATAACATCAAGGACATATATACACCGGACAAGATATCTGTCGAGGGCGATTTGGGGTCGAGATACGACTATGGCAAGTATTATGCTTCCAAGTCTTTCTTCGACTGTGTCAAGAATCAAAGAATCTTGACGGCTTGGATTAATGAATCATCGAGTGTGGCTGATGATGTTAAGAAAGGATGGTCAGGTGTTCACGTAAGTCTTGGTTTAGTTATTGCTTGTTCCCCAAGTAACATTTACTGCAAAGTCTATAATCAAAGTCTCTAATTTCGCAGGCAATTCCTAGGAAATTTTGGCTGGCTGAAAATGGCAAACAATTGGTGCAATGGCCAATATCCGAACTACAAAAGCTACGTGCAAACCACATCAGCCTGGCTAACAAATTGCTCGAGGGAGGATCAGTTATCAAAGTTTCCGTTGTTACTGCTGCACAGGTGACTCGATTTCACTAACGAAAAAACCAGACAATGCATTTTCGGTTTCGCCACGTCTCCCGTACTCATTCTTCTACTTGTTATGTTCATATCTGTGCAGGCAGATGTTGAGGTTTCATTTGAGATAAAAGATCTCGACAATGCTGAAGTGCTAGAACCAAGCTGGACCAACCCACGCTTCCTATGCAGCCAAAAGGGTGCATCCGTTAAATCAAGCCTCGGACCGTTCGGGTTACTCGTTTTGGCTTCCGATGACCTGAAAGAGAACACGGCGGTATTCTTCAGAATATTCAAGGGTAACAACAGTTATGTGGTGCTAATGTGCAGCGACCAATCCAGTTCATCCTTAAATCAAGATAATGACAAGACAACATATGGAGCTTTCTTGGATGTGGATATTCGACAACAAAAGTTGTCATTGAGGAGCTTGGTGAGTTAAATCTTTTGACTTGGAGAGCTTAATTTGAACTTTCAAGTATCCGTTTTAAACCATTTTGTTTTGTTTTGAACAGATGGATCATTCTATTGTGGAGAGCTTTGGTGGAGGCGGCAAAGCATGCATAACATCAAGGGTTTATCCCACATTGGCAATTAACGAGGCAGCTCATTTGTATGCTTTCAACAATGGAACTCAGTCCCTTAACATTGCAGCGTTGAATGCTTGGACCATGAACACAGCTAATATCAACTGATATTTCCATCGAATTAAGGATGACATTTTGATATAATAATTTGTCGATGCAATAAAGAGAGATGCATGGAGGGAAATAAACTTGTTATTCCAAATCATTTCTGAAATAAATAAAACTAATAATTCAATCCATCTTATTTATATTTAAGGGTAATATTAACATCAATGTAGTAAATCTCGAGTTTTTTTTTTCATATATCATTTGAATTTATTGTAATTTTTTAAATAATTTATATTATAATATTGATTATTTTCATTTTAGTTTTATTCACTTTTAATCATCAATTTTTAAAATTTATGTTTTGATCACTTATATTGTCGATTTATTACTTTTTTATCACTAGATTTTTAGTTTTTGTTAGTATGATGACATGAAATTATATAGTAAATTTTTTTTTTTAATTTGACTACTAAACTTTAGATAGAATATAAATTTGACCCATGAATTTTTTACCTTTAAGCTTTAGATAAGATATCAAATTGACCCCTAAATTCGATCAAAGTCTTCAACTATCATCTGCCACTGTCGACGACGTCTATTAGACCCCAAAATATCTAATTACTCTTTTTTTAATGTCATAAGCGTAATTTTTTTTTTGGATAATAAATTATATTCCATCCAAAAAAACCGCAGCTTAGCTGCTACAAAATGAACTGTCACAAACTAAAACAGTTCACAGTTTATGTACAAGAATCTATTACCATCATCTACTCTATGTAAACTTAGGCTATACAATTTTGCTTTCACTGCCTCCTTAATTCTTTTTACAATTACCTCACTTGAGCTTGAGATGTCTCTAAAATGCCTATAGTTACGCTCTTCCCAAATATAATACAAAAAACAGTCCAAGCAAGTTTTAGAATCCGTACCCGAAAAGTTTTGCCCTTCAGGTTTCCAACCATCCAGCTAAGGCACTGATCCCAGGTAAGCAGCACAACGAGTACCACAAAGGCTTAGAACAGTGTTCCAAACATCCATATCAAAAGGACAAGCAACAAATAAGTGATCCCTTGATTCAGAGTCCGAACCACATACCAAACAAGCAGCATCAACAGCTAAACCAAAACGGGAAAGCCTGTCTTTAATTGACAGCCGATCGAGGATGGCCATCCACGAGATTAAGGAGAATTTGGGAATATGAGACGGGAAGCGGATAAGCTTATGCCAACTCACCTTCTCCCTTCTAACTCTAATACAGTCCCAAACCCATAAGCGTAATTTTAATATCTGTTTTACCGAGAGAAAAATATATCCTAAATTCAATAAATTTAGCTCACCGAAAGTACATTGGACCAAAACAACCGGCATATATTCCATTTTCTCAATTGTCACTGTTTTTTAAGGCGAAGTTCACAAATGGTATCTCACTGGGGTGTTACTTTTTTTCGTCTACCAATTATTAAAAGTTATAAAATGATCTACCGATTATAGGATGTTACTTTGTTGAGTCCTCTGACTATTAAAAGTTACGAAATGGTTACCCAACTATTCATATGTTCCAATTTTTTAGTTAAAAAATTGACAGTCGCATGAGTTGGACGTTAATATGTGTATTGGAATACGATAAAATCTGATCTTAGAATCGTTTAAGCTGTATTTTATGGATCAAATGTCTGTTTACATTATGCTGTAAACGCCATCGAGCCGGTGTTTAAAATATTATATTGTCAAGTCAGTACTTGAAATCAACGACTGTGCTAGTAAGCATTATTAAAATATGATTTTGGGGGCATTTGGTAAATAACTTTTTGAAGAGCTTTTAGTTTATTTGAGTATAAATAACTTATCGGTAGTTAAACCCTTCATTTTTAGTGTTTGGTAAACAACTTTTTGAAATATTATATTACTAACCCCAAAGTTAATCCTTTGTTTTCATGGCACTAGGCACTTAACAAGTTGATCATACTGTTGCTTGATCTTCCTCTGCGTTGCATTACTCATTGAAGTAAACGGGTACAAACAAACAAGATCCGGATTTACCCGATAACCCGGACCCCACGACCCGATTCTTCCCTCTTCTTATCGTCCTCGGAAATGTTACACCTTTGGCCATTTGGGTTATTAAGAGAATACTTAATATCCCATATGCCCCTAAGTTTTATTTATTTTTAATATTGATATGATATTATTTTACGATGACATGTTAATAATTATTAATTTTTTAATAATGAATGATAAAACGAAATTAAAATCTAACATATGATTTAAAAAAGAAACATATATTATCTTACGGTAAACTAATTAATTTAAGGGTAAAGTATAGTAATGGTCACTGAACATTTCTGAAGCTTGCATTTAGGTCCCCCAACTTTTAAAACTTGCAATACAGTTCCCAAACATTTATTCCGTTTGCAATATGGTCCCCCAACTTAAACCACCGTTACAAAATTAGGTTAAATTATATAAACGGTCATTGAACTTTTCAGGCACTTGAATTTAGGTCCCCCAACTTTTAAAACTTGCAAAACAGTCCTCAATTTCATTCTAAACCCCAATTTCCAAATTAATTCAATTTCATTCTAAACCCTAAATTCCAAAATAATTCAATTAAATTCTAAACCCCAAATTCTAAAATACTTCAATTTAAGGTTTAGAAAATAAATTTATTAATTATTTCAAATAAACACATATTGATATAATATATAATTTATAAAAATTCAGAATATTATTTTACCAGGTCATATTGAACCTAGATCCACCTATTTATAATAACATTTCAATAGAAAGACGTTTCAAAATATTTTAAAAATATATATTATTTTTTACTAAACACGTGACTTTATGGAATTATGAAAGTGGCGTTGTCTTGATGGAATAATTTTTGTCAATGCGTTAAGTGAATTTGTAAAACATTTGACAGAAAAATATAAACACGTGACAAGGTTGGCCTCTTTGATGGCTGCAATGATGTATACGTGAGCGGAAAAAGTTCAGTAGGAAATCTGTACTGAAGTGAAGATAGTCTTCTCTGGCCTACTACACGAATCTTTAACGAAATTTTTGTGATTAACTCCTCAATTGTGATGTTTCTCTTCAAGGTTAAGGGGATATAATGATCTGACTCAAAATAACCCCCTCTTCAGCTTCCTTAATTAGTCCATCATACAAAACAACAGCAGAAAGACGACTCATTTTCAGAGAATTTGAGAATTTAGATCAATACCTAAATAATATACATTATAAAAAATAAAAATTAATATAAATTCATAATAACTTTAAAATAAAAATAAATTTAAATATTAACATTAATTATAAAAAATATTACCATATCGCTAAAATATCTGGAGATATGATCAATATTCAATCGCAACAGCATTTCGTTTTTCATTATAACTGTAGACAAAACAATATAATTAGCAAAAAAAATTAATAATTCTAAATAAATAATAATTATAAATATTATTTTAATAAAAAAATAATATTACATAAATATTAAATAAAAATAATAACTATTTAAAAAATACTAACATAAAATAAATTTCTTACCACTAAAAACAAATTTAAAACTCAAATAGTTGGAGAATTTGAGTTATATAAGAGAGGAGAATATGATTTTGGTGTGAAGAATGAGGGAGGGTTGAGGGGGTTTATATAGGGGAGGATGAGGGGTAGTTAGGAAAAACGGATGGGGGCATTTATGGTATTTAATTGAAGGCGCGTCCCCGGGGATGCGGGTCCCACACGTGGCAGTCGAGCTAGCGAAAGGCGCGTCCCCGGGGATGCGCCTTCCACACGTGGCATCCAACTCAGCGAAAACACAGGTAAAGCGCGTCCCCGGGGACGCGCCTTTGTCAGCTCAGCAGAAAGGATGCTACTTCAAAAATATTAGTCAAACGGTGTCAGAAAGGAATATTAAAGAAAATTGATGTCAGTTATGTCAAATAACCCACGTATACTCAAAGACGTTTGACTTTGACTATTTTAAATAAAAAAACAAAGGATATTTCTCCATGAAATTTCCCGTGACTTGGTAAGGTCTTCATATTCTAGGACTAAACAATGAAATTCTTACGATATTACTTGTTTTATTTTTTTATTGAAAATTACAAATGTTTGTATTGAATAAATAAATTAAATTGTATTCGTAATGACAAGATTTTAACTTATATATATATATATATATATATATATATATTAAAATATGTAATATTTTTTAATATCTTAATACTAATTGATCTAACAAATTATGGGTTTAAAAGTCAAAGATTCATATTTTTTTTGCCATTTTCACATTCTTGTTTCAAGTTCAACAAAATTAAATCTTTAAGCAATTGATTATGATTCTATAATCAAATATATCATTTATATATAATTTAATGATATCGGCTTTTATTAGAGCTTGTAATTTTAATTTTGTTTGATTCCATTAAAATTGTGATACAATCTATTTGGTGAATAAATAAATAAAGCTAAAAATAGAGATTTATGATAGATATTATATAATTAAATTAAATTAAATTTATACGTTCATACAATTAACCAAAAATATGGAACTAAATTTACATGTATGGAATCCTCTTATATTTATCATGGACATAGTGATTTTTTTGGTATAATGTATTTTTATTTACTTATCTTTGGACATTTATTGGTAAGACCTAGAATCCATAAATTGGATCTGAATCTGATCCATCAGCTCCAATGGTTTTTATGTCAATAGAAAAGGGATCTAAACTGTAAGGAAATTATATTTATAATTATTTAAATCAATTTCCCCTGAATTTTCCTAAAACGTCACTATAAATAGAGCGGCTTCCTCCTCTGTTCTACCCATCTGCTTAAACACAACATTCCCATTAGCCAAAACAAACACACAGAAGTAGCCACGAGACAAAATGGTTGCCAAAGTCTACATTGTGTAAGAATTCTAATCTTGTTTCTTCGTGGTTTTTCCGATTTGAATCCAAACTGGAATCTGCTATGCTTCTCGTCTTTGCTCCGTTTTCTTTTTTTCCTTTTTCTCTTCTGCGTGATTCTGTATTTTTCTTTTATGACAATGAAGACTAGGAACAAGACGTAGAATCAACAGACCACAAAAACACGGTAGAAAAGATTGGCTCAAATTTCTTATTAGTCCCTGTACTATGCATTTGACCATCTTTAG